TTCCACACAATCTCATTATACGAAATACACTCATTCAATATCTCACCATATTAACAGTGCGGATAGCACCGTTCCATTCTAAATGGGAATGACATGTATTAATAATATTTTAATTAAAGATTCTGAACTTTAATTAAATTCATTATGAACAATGTTTTTTATTATTATCCTCAAACACTATCCTCTCGTATATAACACTTATATACTATGTTTAAGGTTACATAAATACACGGAATTTTCATTTGATATTCATATAATATTCATAAATATATGCACATAAAATGATGAATAAATTCTTTTATTATTTAAATAATAAATATCTTGTTATATCTTGTGCTTCTAGGACACTATTCCTAACAAAAAATAGAAATGAAAACGATTTTTTAGTTTAGTGTAAAATGAGAGAGAAATGAAAAACAACTTTTAGTCATTTTTTTTCATTTTTTGTTTATGTTTTCTCCACTCTCGAATAGAGAGAGATGTTAATGGATTTTTTTGTACTGAAAACAATCTCTTAATAAAATTACCAAACGCATTTTCAAAAATGATTTATATCTGACATTGAAAACGTTTTCATTTCCATTTTCATACAAAAATCAAAATCATTTTGAAACGAGTTCTAAATGCACCCTTTCGTTCTTTCTCCCAAATATTCAGACATTCTGAAAATGATTACAAATCATTTTCCTTTTCCCATTTTCCTTTTCTCTATTAAACACGGCCAAATTCTGCGAAACGTCGTGCTTCTCTATGACATTGGCGACCCACTAGAAGAAGCAATGGGTGAGCAGGCCGGCGTTCTGGAAGCAGGCGAGGACGTGGTCGGCGATCTCTGACGTGAGCCTGACGCCAGTTTGGTCAAGGGCGGCGATTGGGGTGGAGGACATGATTTTGCACATTGTTTGAATTGGGTCTAGGGTTTCGCGCTTTAGTTTTGTGGAGTTGTGTCGTTTTAGCAGAGATGGGTTTCAAATGTCAATTGTGTTCGCAACTAGGTGGTGGGTTCGCTACGAACGACAGGCGACGCTAAGGCAGGATCGCAGAGGAGAGTTGCGGCGGTGGAAAGGGACGATGGGGCTCGTGGCAGCTCGCAAAAAGGGTGGGCTTGACGGATCTAGGTTTTCGCAGCATAGGAGTAGGCTCGACAATGCTTGCGCAGCAGAGGAGCGGATTCGACGGGCTGCTTCGTGACGACGACGATGATGCTAGGGTTATGCTTGGCTGGGTTAGTGAGAAGTTCATCAATTTTGGGTTGTTTATCTTCTGAGCTAATCTGCACTTGAGAAGTCTAATGAGAGTAGTGTTTTTTTTTTTTGTTTTTTTGTTTTTTTTGTTTTTTTTTGTTTTTTGCATTCGGGTTGTTTTGGGTTCGTGAGAAGTTCATCAATTTGGGCTTGAAGCCTTGAACAATTGAAGTGAAAGAGAGGAAAGTCTTGAATGGTATTTAAAATATTATTACATGTTTTTTAAAATGTAAAACTAAACGGAGTTTCAGTTTTTTCTTATATTGAAAATTATTTTTGAATAAAACTACTAAACGTATTTTCAGAAATGATTCCTACCTGAGAGTGAAAAGGTTTTTATTTTTATTTTCATACACAAAATAAAATCATTTTAAAACGAGTTTAAAATGAGACCATAGTCTTTTCATTTCGCCATATGCAAGTTGCAGATTTTTACCTTTTTCGTTTTATGATACCTTTTTTTTTTTTCTTTTTTAATTCGTTTGTTGAGATGACTTGTTTACTTCTCATTTATATATTAGTCTGCACAGGCGGGACATTTTCTTTAAAATTATAGTTATAGGAATTGTTGAAAAATAAAAGAGAAAGAAGAAAAGGAAAAAAGAAATCAAAATAAAAACAGAAAATTATAGATTTTACTTTTAAGTACCTGGCTTATTAAAAGTAGCATTTTAAAAAAAATTTACCATTTGACTAGTTCTAATTTAAAAAATAGAAATATATGAACTAATGTTAAAAGGTAGACATAAAAGATTGCTCTATTTTAAGGGGTATTTTTAAAAAATACCTAAATAAAACGAGGATAAAATAAAGGAAAAAAAGGGAAAGCAACAAAAAAAAAAACAATTAGTGAGAAGTGTTGTAAATCAATTACATTGGATGCAACATCTTGGTATTTCATAACCTACATGGATATTAAGTCACTCATTTAAACCCCATTATTTCCCCTCTTAATTCTGTATATTATTCTCCATAACTCCTCCTTAATATTGCATGTAACCTATGTAACTTATGTCTTCTCCTATGACCTCTAGTTATGATCCTTAGGCTATAAATAATGAAGCTATTTGCTTGTATGGATACTACTTACGAGCAAGAATACAAAGCTTCCTTGTCTCTCATATGCTCTCTTGTTCTTTTAGTTTCTTGCAATTATAGTTTTTACTATTATTTTATAACACGTTATCAGCACGAGTTCTACCTTAATCTCTTTCAGTGTTCCTAACTCCTTCATTTCCACGTATTTCTGTTTGTGAAGGTAGTCCGTTTATTCTATTGATCATACATGTTATATTCATGTTCTCCTTCTACGTTTCTTTGCTCTCGTTTTCTTTCTTCTCATATGTATATGTTTATGTATTATATATATACTTTAATAATACTACAGATTTACATGTACATATTTATTCAGCCTTTAGAATTTTTCCTGAGTACTATTTTATTGCAATCAGTTTTATATACCATTCAATTTTTGTTAATATGTATCTGGTTATATATTTGTAGAATTACTATGATTATTCTCACCATTAACTTAAATGTAATTATGTGAAGTTTTTCCGTTGGTTTTTTTTTAATATATATGTGTGATTGGTTTTTAACTTGTTCATATTATTTATGTCTACTAGTACAACATTGCCTCACCAGTTTCATTATATTATTTTTCATGTTATTATACTCTATTGTTGTGCCCGTTCGATTTAGTTAATTCACATGTACTATATTTTCTTTCATTGTTATAATTATTGTTGTGCCCGGTTGTCAGTTTCTATTCCTAATATTTGATATTCATATATTTTAAACCTTTTGATTGATTATAAATTATCATTTAAATTCTTATTGACTTTATTTTTTTGTCATATAATAGTTTCACAATGTCGAATCTTACAAAGCTTGAGTTTGTTGCCCTTGATATTTCTGGCAACAATTATTTAGCTTGGACTCTTGATGCTGAGATCCACCTAGATGCTATGAATCTCGGAGAAACAATTAAAGAAGGAAATGAAGCATCTTCACAGGATCGCGCGAAGGCGATGATATTCCTTCGTCATCATCTCCATGAAGGATTGAAAATTGAATATTTGACGGTAAAAGATCCATATGTCCTGTGGAGTAATTTGAAAGAAAGGTATGACCACCAAAAGACCGTAATACTTCCAAGTGCTCGCTATAATTGGATGCACCTACGTTTACAAGACTTTAAAAGTGTAAGCGAGTATAATTCCGCAATGTTTAAAATTACTTCTCAATTAAAGTTATGCGGAGAAAGTGTTATGGAAAAAACATATTCTACTTTTCATGCCTCTAATATGCTCCTGCAACAGCAGTATCGAGAGCAAGGCTTTAAAAAATATTTTGAGTTAATTTCATGTATGCTTGTTGCCGAGCAAAATAATGAACTGTTGATGAAAAATCATCAATCCCATCCAACTGGATCAACACCATTTCCTGAAGCGAATGCTGCATCTGTTGATGATTTTGGGCGTGGTCAACGTCACCGCCGAGGTCGTGGACGCGGACGCGGATGCGGTCGCGGACGCGGTCGCGGTCGTGGTTATGGTCGTGGTTATAATAACCAAAACTCTTCAAATTTCAAGAAGACCACATCTCACCACCAGAAGTGGGAGAATAAAGAGGAAAAACAAGAAGAAAGAGGTTCTCAAAATAAAGCCTCCAAGAATAATGAAGATGTTTGTCATAAGTGTGGCATGAGAGGACATTGGCGACGCACATGTCGCACGGCTAAACATTTTGTTGATCTTTATCAAGCATCATTGAAAGAAAAAGGAAAAGGTGTAGAAACAAACCTTGCTGAACACCATGATCCCACGGACTTTTCGCACTTAGATGTCGCAGATTTCTTTGAGAATAATGATGGAAATTTTGAGAATTTAATTGCTGATGGAAACATCAATATAGCTTGAAAATGATGTTCTTGCACCATATTACCCTAAGTGTGTTATATTAAGGGGTGCTTTTATTTTTAGTGTGTTTTGTAATTTTCAGTGTGTTTTATTTTGGGCTTGTCTTGTAATTTTTGGTGTGTTTTTATTTCTAGTGTGTTTTATATAAAAAAAATATGATTGTGGTTTGTATGTTATATTCTCATAATTCTTTATTTTATTTTTATGAAGAAATATGGATATCAATGATGACAAAGATGGTGCTAAAGTTAATGGTGAAGCCCTTTGCTTGGCAGACAGCGGAACAACACACACCATTCTTAAAGATAAAAGATGTTTTTCCCAACTTATATTAGTTGAAGCTAATATTAACACAATATCTGGTGTTGCAAACCTTATTGAAGGTTCCGGAAGAGCTAATATATTGTTACCCGGTGGCACAAAGCTTATAATTAACGACGCAATGTATTCAAGTAGATCGAAAAGAAATCTACTAAGTTTTAAAGATATTCGTCGTAATGGTTACCATATTGAGACAACAAATGAGAAAGACGTTGAATATCTTTATCTTACGTCTATTGTCTCTCGAAAGAAAAATATATTAGAAAAGCTACCATCATACTCTTCTGGATTATATTATACATTTATAAATCCAATTGAGTCCTATGTGGTGATGGATCAAGAGTCAAATAATCCAAGAAATTTTATTCTTTGGCATGACCGTTTGGGTCATCCGGATTCGATAATGATGAGAAGAATTATAGAAAATTCACATGGACATCCTTTAAAGAACCAAAAGATTCTTTTGTCCAAAGATTTCTCATGTGCTGCTTGCTTTCAAGAAAAAACTTATTATAAGGCCGTCCCCAATGAAAGTTGCAATTGAATCTCCTGCATTTTTAGAACGAATTCAAGGAGACATATGTGGTCCTATAATTCCATCATGTGGACCATTTCAGTATTTTATGGTACTAATAGATGCATCGACGTGTTGGTCACATGTTTGTTTATTATCTACTCGTAATATTGCTTTTGCGAGACTCTTTGCTCAAATAATCCAATTATGGGCACAATTTTCAGATTATACAATAAAAAAAAATTCGTCTTGATAATGCAGGAGAATTTACATCCCAAGCTTTTAATGATTATTGTACGTCAATTGGGATTATTGTAGATCATCCTGTTGCTCACACGCATACGCAAAATGGGTTAGCAGAATCTTTTATTAAAAGATTGAAATTAATTGCGAGGCCTTTACTTATGAAAACAAAGTTACCAAGTTCTGTTTGGGGACATGCCATATTACATGCAGCAGCACTTATTCACATAAGGCGAACTGCATATCATAAATACTCCCCATTACAACTTGTTTCAGGGTGAGAACCAGATATTTCCTATCTAAGAGTTTTTGGTTGCACGGTATATGTTCCAATTGCTCCACCACAACGCACTAAGATGGGTCCTCAAAGAAGGCTGGAAATTTATGTTAGATTTGAATCTCCGTCAATAATTAAATATCTCAAACCCTTGATGGGTGATCTTTTTACTGCACGCTTTGCAGACTGTCAATTTGATGAGACAATTTTCCCAGCATTAGGGGGAGAGAAACAACAGCTGGAAAAACAAAAAATTTTATGGAATGCATCATCTTTATTGCATTATGATCCTCGTACGAATCAATGTGAGTTAGAAGTTCAGAAAATCATTCACTTGTAAAAAAATTACAAACCAGTTACCTGATGCATTTACTAATGTTAAGAAAGTAACAAAATCACATATACCAGCTGAAAATGCTCATGTTCGAATTAATGTGCCTATAGGGCAAACTACAAATGTATTAGCAAACGAGTGTAAGGCACGCCAAAAGCATGGTAGACCTATCGGTTCCAAGGATAAAAATCCAAGAAAGAAAAAGGAGCAAAATAAGCAGGTTGGCACTTCTAAAGTTACTAATATTCTTGATGAGCCTGTGAGAGAAATAGTTGACATAACTGAACAAGAAACCCTAGAAGAGGTATAGGTACCTGAAAATGATGTTAATGAAGAGATCTCAATAAGTTATGTAACTTCAGGAAAACGATGGAACCGAAATGAAATTATTGTCGACAGCATATTTGCATATGCAGTAGCTCTTGATATTACAAAAGAAAGCGAGGATCTTGAACCGAAGTCCGTTGAAGAATGTCGACGTAGAAATGATTGGCCAAAATGGAAAGACACAATCCAGGCAGAACTAAATTCACTTGAAAAACGCCAAGTCTTTGGACCTGTTGTCCAAACACCTGAAGGTGTAAAATCTGTAGGCTACAAATGGGTATTTGCGCGAAAACGTAATGAGAAAAATGAAGTTGTGAGTTACAAAGCACGACTTGTAGCCCAAGGTTTTTCTCAGAGACCTGGTATTGATTATGAGGAAACATATTCTCCAGTGGTGGATGCAATTACATTCAGATTTTTGATTAGCCTGGTAATTTTAGAAGGACTTCATATGCGTCTAATGGATGTTATAACAGCTTATCTGTATGGATCACTTGATAGTGATATTTACATGAAAGTCCCTGAAAGACTAAAAATGCCTCAAGCATGCAATTCAAAACCCCGGGAAATATTTTTGATTAAATTACGAAGATCTTTGTATGGATTAAAGCAATCTGGATGCATGTGGTATACTCGTCTCAGCGAATATCTTTTAAAAGAAGGATATATCAACAATCCAATTTGTCCATGTGTTTTTATCAAGAAATCAAAGTCTGGATTTGCTATTATTGCAGTTTATGTTGATGATTTGAATATTATTGGGACTCTTGAAGAACTTAATGAGACGATAACATATTTGAAAAATGAATTTGAAATGAAAGATTTGGGTCAAACAAAATTTTGTCTTGGCTTGCAGATCGAACATTTATCTGGAGGAATTTTTGTTCATCAATCGACTTATATTGAGAAGGTATTAAAACGTTTTAATATGGATAAATCTCATCCATTGAGTTCCCCCATGGTTGTTTGATCCCTTGATGTGAAAAAGGACCCCTTTCGTCCTCAAGAGGAAAATGAAGAGATTCTTGGTCCAGAAGTACCATATCTTAGTGCTGTTGGAGCACTAATGTATCTTGCTAATTGCACGAGACCTGACATAGCATTTTCTGTTAGTTTACTAGCAAGATATAGTTCTTCACTAACTCGAAGACATTGGAATGGTGTTAAACAAATACTTCGTTATCTTCGTGGTACATCAGATATGGGATTATTTTACTCGCAGGGCTCGAAGTCAGAATTGATTGGATATGCAGATGCTGGATAATTGTCAGATCGACATAAAGCGCGATCACAAACCGGGTACTTGTTCACATATGGTGGTACTGCTATATCTTGGCGCTCCACAAAGCAAACTCTTACAGCTACATCTTCGAATCACGCTGAAATATTAGCAATTCACGAGGCAAGTCGAGAATGTGTGTGGTTAAGATCTCTAGTACAGCATATAAGAGAAACATGTGATCTCTCATTTGTCAAAGGAAGTCCAACACTGTTGTATGAAGATAATGCAGCCTGTATCGTTCAACTCAAAGGAGGTTACATTAAAGGAGATAGAACTAAGCATATTTCACCAAAATTCTTTTCCACGCACGAGCTTCAAAAGAAAGGAGAAATAGATGTCCATCAAATTCGCACCAGTGATAATTTAGCAGATTTATTTACAAAGGCACTTCCTACGACAACATTTGAGAAATAAGTACATAAGATTGGCATGCGTCGGCTCAGAGATCTTTGAAGAAGACATGTCGACATGAGGGGGAGACCTTTTGCGCACTGTACTCTTTTTTCCTTAGCCTAGGTTTTATCCCATTGGGTTTTCCTGGCAAGGTTTTTAATGAGGCAGTTATAAAGCGCAAATCCTACAAGAATAATGTACTCTTTTTCCCTTCACTAAGATGTTTTTTCCCACAGGGTTTTTTTTTTCTTAGTGAGATTTTTAACGAGGCATATTCTTAATAGGTAGCATCCAAGGGGGAGTGTTGTAAATCAATTACATTGGATGCAACATCTTGGTATTCCATAACCTACATGGATATTATGTCACTCATTTAAACCCCATTATTTCCCCTCTTAATTCTGTATATTAGTCTCCATAACTCCTCCTTAATATTGCATGTAACCTATGTAACTTATGTCTTCTCCTATGACCTCTAGTTATGATCCTTAGGCTATAAATAATGAAGCTATTTGCTTGTATGGATACTACTTACGAGCAAGAATACAAAGCTTCCTTGTCTCTCATATGCTCTCTTGTTCTTTTAGTTTCTTGCAATTATAGTTTTTACTATTATTTTATAACAAGAAGAAATATTTAATAAATAAAAAAATGTGAGGATAAACAACACAACATGGGGGAAAAGAATAAAGGAAAACAAAACATAAAAAACATTAACTGAAATAAAGCTAAATATAAAAAAGATCAAAAGATATAAATAAATAAATAAATGAGAGGTTAAAAAACAAGAAATAGGAAAACATAATAAAAGAAAGCAAAAAAAAAAAAAAAAAAAGCCGAAAAAAAAGAATGTTTCCTACGTTGAATTTGAGGGGAGAAATGTACAAAAGGCTACATGGAAAACAAATTAAGGGAAAAATTAATAAGGTAAATATCAAAATATACAAGATATTTAAGGGGAAGCAACCTAAGAAATAGAAAAATGAGAAGAAAAGGAAAAAAGAAAAAAAGAGATCAAAAGATGCAATTAAAAAAAAAGGAGGACAAAAAAGAAAAGCAAAAAAACAAAAAACAAAACAAAAAGGAATAAATGGGGGAGAGAGGAAACTGACCAAACTCACAAAGTAGGGAAAAAGAATAAAAGAAAACAAAAAAAAAAAAGGTTTCCTGCGTTATATTTGAGGGGAGAAATGTACAAACCGCTACAAGGAAAACAAACTAAGCGAAAAAAATAATAAAGTAGACATTAAAATATATAGGTAGGGCTATTTATGAGTTGGGTTGGTGCGGGATAAGACTTTTTTTCCCG